TCAGCCTGGCTCTGACCCTGACCGGCCGTGGGGCCACTCAGCTCCAGCGTTAGGAATGAAGCCGCAGACGTCGGTTTCCTCCTCTGCAAAGCGGGGGCATGGGGCCTGCTCGGTGGTCCCTGCCACATGGAGCCGGGTGTCAAGGGCCCTCCTGCCCCCTCCCCCACCTAGTTTTGTTCCAAACTCTTCCTTCATTCAGGTGCTCCTGGGCCTGAGGGTGATGGAGCCTTTGAGCCGAGCATTTGGGTCGGGGCCAGGGTGGGGATGGCCCACTCTGCATGCCCTCCCTCCCTGCGTGGAGGTATTTGGGCCTAGCTGGCGATTTTCTTCCTGTTTGCTTGGGAGACCCTCAATGTCCCCCTCCCAATTAAAAGAACCCACATATGAAATAGGGAGCCTAGAGGGACCCAGGGAATGTGGCTGGAGCTTGAGTCCTGGCCCTCAGTGAATTCCACTTACCCTACCCTGAAACCCCACCCCTCTCTCCAAAACTGGCCTTGAACTGGTGGGCCCGAGCCCGCAGGGCCTTGTGGCACAGTGCCAGCTCAGGGCCCAGCCTCCCAGGCAGTCTCCACCAGGCCAGAGTTCATCTTTAGCCAAACAGCAGGCACTGGGGGCTCTCAGGACCCTCACAGTGTTCCCAGCCTCAGCTTAGACCCTGGGCAGCTGGGCCCCAGGACTGTCAAGTACAGCGGCCCCAGGTCCTGGTGCACAGCAGGGCAGGGACAGCAGGGACAGCTGAGCTGGGCACAAGTCTGACCTGGTGACCTTGTAGTTGAGCACAAAACAGGTCAAAAGCCATTTGCTGACCCTGTGGATTTGGGTGGGGTCATAAAAGGCGGGGGACTTGAATGCCAGTTTCACCACAGCAGCCCTGCCTCTTGACCCTCTGTGATCCTCACTCCCAGGACCTGGGCCCCACGGGAGTTGGGGACCAGAGGAGCAGATGAGAATGAGGAAGGCCAGGCCTCTCCCACCTCCCTCCATCCCTTCCCTCTTGTCCTGTATCCCCTGTCCCTCCCTCCTCACCTAGCTCGCACCTACCACGCATCAGCTGGCATTCAGGGCCCCACTCCCTCTTTTATGACCCCACCCAAACCCACAAGGTCAGCAAAGGGGCTCTTATTTGTTTCCAGAACAAGGTGGCATGACCTTTCCTCAAAGGTCCCCTGGCTGAGTGCTCCGCACCCCTGGGGGCGTCAGGAAGCACCCAGGCCCAGTGACTGAGAATCCCTGAGTGCTTGCTCTCTGCAGTCACATTTTGCCAAGGCGACCTGGCTGTTTTTCTGCCTTTTGTTGATTTGCTCGGCCAACTCATTCATTCATTCATTCATTCATTCATTCATTCAACACTTAAGGCGCTAGGCCTCGTGTTGGATGCTGCAGTGTAGGAATGAGGCAGGTTATTTGCCCACCGGGGTCTGCCGCAGACTCGTGGGCTCCTGAGACTGAAAATTCTCAGAGGCAGGGTGTGTATGCCACGCTGCCCCCCTACCTCCCCCTGCCCACACTCACTTTAGGTCAGTTGGAGGAAACTGGGATGCCACTGGGGATGGGGACAGGGCTTGGTGCCCAGGGTGAGGCAGCAAGGGGACGTGGGGTGGCCTGGGGGCAGGGGCAGAGCCTCTGACAGACCTGTGGGTGGCTGGGCGAGGGGCGGAGGACAGTTGGCAGCCTCAGCCTCGGCTTAATTCCTGGGCACGCAGCAGCGTTGGGAGGGCTACCAGCCATCCGCTGCGGCTTCAGAGGGCCCTGGGGGCTGTGGGTGGGCTGGGCTGTAGGCAGGCAGCCTGCCCTCCCCACTTCCTGGGACTGTTGCTTCCCTGGGAGCTCAGGGAGCTGCTCCCTTCAAGGGGAAAGGGGGTCTGGGGCTCGGACCCAGCTGCCGTCCTGCCCCTGGAACAGTGTCAGGGTGATGGGGCTGTGCTGGGAGCTGGAGTGGGGGGCAGCGGCGACAACTTCAGGCCTGTTTCCCTCCCTCCCTGCCTCTCCCTGCCCTGCTGCTCAACCTGGTTGCCTTCTGGGGGACAGTACCCTCAGGCTGGTCCCTGCCTGCTCCTGACCACACAGGGAAGTTCAGGCCCCCACATGCCAGTCATGGTGGCTCTGACCTGTCCCACCTAGAAGCCACAGAGCAGGCTAGACACATGTGCCCCAGGAGGAAGCTGACTCTCGGGGCTTCCACTTGCTCCTTGGCTCACACCTGCCGGCCAGCACTGGCCCAGCCTGGGTGGTCTTGCAAAGCCCCTCCCCTGCTCCAGGGTGCCTCTCCTCCCCTGTCACCTGTGTTTTCCTCTTCATCAGACAAGAATGCGTCAGCAGGACCGGGGCCACTCTCCCACTCCATTGTTAATGCAGGCCCCTCTCCACATCCCCACCCCTGACAGGCCCAGGCCTGCCCGGTGGGGCCAGTCCACTCCCTGCTGCCGGGAGTCCAGATACACCTGTTTACCTTTGGGCCTCAGCCCAGGATGGAAGCGCCTGACTCCTGACCACCTCCACGCACCCGCCCTCACAGGCCTTCTTTCGCGCCTTCTTCCTTCCGAAAAGTCTGGGTCCCCAGTGTGCAGGGGGGTGGGGGGGGGCAGGGAGGAGATTGGTTCCTGCCCTCTGCTCAGCTCTGCAGGAGGCCTGGCCCACTTGCTCCAAGACAGCATGGAATCCTATCCCCGGGGGCCTTCCAGACATCCTGAGTCACTGGAACTGGGGGTGGCCTTCCTGTGGAACAGGATGTGCTCTGGGTAGGAGCGGGGAGGACCCGCAAGGTCTGAGTTCCAGCCCTTTCCCCCATCACCTTTCTGGCTGGGGGGTTCGTAGGGGAGGGAAGATGGGGAAAAGGCAGCAAGTTTGGAGACAGAAGAGTGCCTCCTTGCCTTGGGAAGGGGCCGTCCCTGTCCCCAGGGACACCCAGGACACTCCAACACCCAGGAATGAAGTGGCTTCTCACCTCAAAGGTGGCAGTCAAAGGAAATGAGAAACCTGCTCAGAGAGCTTGAGTCATGGGCTCAAAGCCACACAGCTCAAAAGAGAAAGGACCACTCGATGCAACATGGGCTCCTGGATTGGGATGCTGGAATGGAGAGAAACGTCATGAGGGCAATCAGCAAAATTTAAAAGGGGCCCGCAGTTAGCTGGGGTTACCAGTCAATGCTGATTTCCTGATTGTGATGGTGGTACTAGGGTTATGCAGGAGTGTCCTTGTTCTAAGGAAATACATACTAAAGAATTTAGTGCGAATGGATATCACATCTGCAACTCAATGTCAGTGGGGCAAAATATATTTTGATTGGGATTACGTTGAACCTATAAATAAATAAGGAGCAAATGAACATCTTTTTTAAAAAAACACCCAGCCAAGGGCCAGCACAGGGCTGGGTAGGACAGACAGGACCTGACACGCCCTTTCCCTGCTTCCTGCTATAAGCGTTTGCGAAGCCCTGCGCTCCAGCTCCTCCAGGGCCCCCTCTCAGGTTGGGCGGCCTATTGGGAACATCTGGGGGCTCTTAAAAGTGCTGATGCCTGGGCCTCACCCCCGAGACCGTAGTTCCAGGCACAGGGATTTGCAGGAGCTCCTGGTGGGTCTTCCTGGCAGCCGCTGGCTTCTTTAGCCTTTCCTCACCTGGTGGGCGGTTCTGCTTGGCCCTGACCTTGCCCCTCTCCTCCCCGCGGGACCAGGCAGAGGGTGAGGAGGGGGATAGTGGCACACCCCACCTGCCAATCCAGGGCGTACCTCATTTGGCAAATGCCAGAGGCTGATCCTGGGGGCCAGTGGAGACACTGGAGCCCCCCTTGTTCTCCCAACGCTGAGGAGCGTGGAGAGGAAGGCCGGTGGGTGGTGGGGAGAGGGAGGGAGCCATTGCTGGTGAAGGGAGTCTCAGAGGGAGGCTGGGGCAGCCGTGTCAGCAAGCTTCGGGAAGAGGGTGGGCTGGCTTCCGAGCTCAGTAAGGCCCCCGAACCCCGCTGGCCCTGCCTTGTGTGCACGCCCTCCTGAAATATTTGGAATAATTAGCAAGTAAAAGCAGCAAGTTAGCAGGGGAATGCCAGGTTGGCCTAGAGCCAACCTTGAGTGCAGAGAAGAAAGGGGCTTCAGGAGAAAGGGGTCCTCGGAGGCTGGGCAGGATTGTGTGGGATTCAGAGTGTGTGTGTGTGCTCGCGCGTGTGTGCGCTGGGGGGAGGGGCTGTGCACCACGAGGGCATGCTTGAGGGGCTGGGTAGAGAACTGGGTTCCAGGCCCCACTGGGGTGAAGGGGTGGAAGGGTGCCTGCTGAGTGTCACCCAAACAAATGTTTCCCATGCCTCAGTTTCCCCATCAGACCTCTGGCAGTTTGGCTCCTCACAGGGTGGACCTGCGGGTAGGAGTGAGTGGGAGAGTAGCATCTTAGCGCCCCCTTTCCCTGGTGGCCCTCCTCAGCCTCCAGCCTGCATTGGAGGGAGGGCTCCGGGTTGGATGAACCGATGCCAAGGTGGGAGGTAGGGCCCCTGGGGCTGGGGCCCTCTGACCTCTCACCCTGTCCCTCCAGCAGAGGACCAAGGGAGGGAGGAGCTGGAGACAGGCCCAGGCGAGGACCGCAGGCTCCGGGAGGCGAGCCTGGGCAGGCCCTCGCGGTGGGGGAGGTGGGGGATGCGTGAGCCCAGCCCTGGGCAAGCTTGGCCTTTGTGAGTCCCCAGGGCCAGGGAGGGGGCTGCCCCTCCTTTGCCACCAGCTCCCGGGGGCCCGTGGGTGCAGTCTTCCCATTGCACAGATAGAGGCGCTGAGGCTGCAGCGGACTCCTAAGGCTGCCCCTCAGCCCCTTTCTCCCTGGGGACACGGAGGTCAAGGGGAGTTCATCAGAGGGGGCACAAGCCCTCAGTGCCCCCATCTTCCAACTTCCTCCTAGCCATTTGCCCTCCGGCAATGAAGAGAAGGCCCCTGCCCCCAAACTAGCCTGCATTTATTTTTCCCCAAAGAAATTTGCAAGCAAAAAAAAAAGTTGCAAGCAGGTCCATTTTTCAATTTCAAAATTTAAAAAAATTTTTATTGTAAATAACTTTCCATGAAAAAGGTTAAATCGCCCCATGAGGCAGGAAGGTGGAAGTGGGACGCAGCCCAGGGGGCTTCTGGTGGAGCAAGACACTCCCCAACACAAGTGCAGGCGGGGGCCCAGGGCGATCCCCCCTTCCTGGTCCCAGTGGTTCTAGCAAGCCTGGTGTCCCTCCTGGTTAAGCCTCAGTTCTAGCTACACTCACTACATTAGTCTGTTCCCCTCCCCTCTGCAGCTTGGCTGCCCTGCCCCCAACCCCCCAGAACCCCAACTCCCTGCTGCTCTCAGCCTCAAGTCAGGCTCAGAGATTAGGGCTTTATACCCTCTGCCCCACCTTGAGGGATGGGGGCCAGGAAATCCCAGAGGCCTTAGAAACTCTCCTTGCCCCAGCACACCACCCCATTTCTGCCTTCTCTCTCTGCCCCCTTCCCCCTGGCTCCACCCTACGTACTGCCGGCTCCAGCCCCAGGGAGGCTCTGCCGGGAGAGGCCTCCAGGGGGTTAATTTGCAGTCACCTAATTAGCATTTGTTGTACCTGGGAACTTTCTCTGGATAGAGACCTGGGGAGGAGAGCAGGAGAGCGAGAAGCATCAAAGCTAAGAGGCTCTGGGGCCGGTCCTGTACTGTTGCTCCCCGCTTGGCCAGGCACCCCCTATCGCCCCCAGGCCGCAGCTCTCCCAGTGCAGGGCATTTAGCGTGTCCCTGGGACAGGGAATAAGTGGGCCAATGAAACACTGTGTGTATGAGGGGCTGGGAGGCGAGGCAGCAATTCAGGTCCTGGGCCCCAGTTCTCAGCCTCCTGGGCTGGAATATGAGGACCGCCTGGTTGGGGGGGGCATATGGCCTCGTGGGGCCAGCCTTGGGAGACCCGCCCAGCCCCTGCCTGGGCTGTAGGGTGTCTGCGGGTCTGTGTTGGGGGGCAGTCTGGGCCCTGACTTGGGCACTGGCCGGAGGTGGGGGCGGGCTTCTTACAAGAAGGCGCCCACGCTGGCCCAGTCGTGCAGGTCAGCGGCCAGGGTGGCGTCCCCGGCCTCAAAGAGGGGCTCCGGGGGCAGGCAGCCACTGCTGCTCTCGTCCCAGGGGTGTTGCAGGAAGGACGTGGCCAGGAAGGTCTCGTCGAAGTCCAGGCTGTCGGCAGCCTGCTCCACCGGAGGCCCCCCAGGTAGCAGGGCAGTCGATGTGGCGGCCGTGGACGGTGAGGTCCACGTCCCCGTGCGAGGCGGGGCTCAGCGGCGGGCTCAGCTCCAGGGCCTCCAGCGCGCCCAGCTCCCCGCCCAGAGTGCCGGCGTCGAAGATGGCCTCCCAGTCAAAGTTGCCCTTGAGGGGTTCCAGCTCGCCCTGCTCCTCCTGGGTCAGCAGCAGGGTGCTAGAGGGCCGCGGGACCTTGGCCACCCGCTTGGGCAGTGGCTGTTTGCGCTTATGCCCAAGCCTGCCCTCGCCCGCGCCCCAGCCCGCCTCCCCGGTGGCCTCCTCGAACTCCCGCAGCAGCTGCTGGGCCTCGGTGTTCACG